ATTACGAAAAATGCTCATTTTTAAAAATAATAATCTGAACAAAATCTGAATATTATTTTTAATTTTTTTTTATAGGGATGGGCAGCACCAGGTTCAAGACCTCCTGGTACAATAATTATAAAATAAATATAATATTCCTCCATTGTTTACTGAAATAACGAGTGCGTTTCAGGGACGATGATTTTCTGCGATAGCCAAGATTAAATTCTGCGTGTGGTTAAGGCAAATTCTCTAATTCTGTGTGGTGTGATACATGAAATTTGCTGATCACAGTAATTTGAAAATCACGATAAAATTAATTTCTGTGGTTGGCTGTGATTAAGAGAAATTCTGTGGTTATCTGTAATTACCCAGTAAATTAACGAAAATCCTCGATGACCATGCAGTCTGCCATTTTGAGATAATGTCGGGCAAAATTAATAACTTCGCAGTAGTTTAGTAACTTAATGTAACTTTCCCGGTAGTTTACCAATGGTAACTTGCCATTTACAACCCTGCCTAGTGCATTTACAAACTTTCATATGATTACGTAATAAAGGTCTGCTACAGGGACGATGATTTTCTGCGGTGATAAAATGCCATGATAAAGGATGGCTTCTGATTTGGCCAAAGTTATATACCATATAGCGCTGCATATAGTACCCCCGGAATACAGTACGGGACAGCAAGTCCCAACAACTTTTAAATAAAAGCGGCCAAATTTTAATCCGTGTTACACAAAATAGGCAATATGTTTGGGTAAAATAAAAATTTTTTTTTTATTAATAGCGGCCAAATTTTTATTTACATATAACTTTGAATTGCTAAACTTTTAATCAAATATAATAATTTAAAAAAACTAATTAGTCAAACTGTAACTATATTAATAAAAAACATTTTGGCTAAAATACTTTTTTAATTAAATTAAATTTGAATTACTAGTTAATTATTTTTAAAAAAGCTAATTTGAGTTGTCGGGATATGCTGTCCCGTACTGTCGCTAGGGAGACGTGCAAAATCCCGATGCTCACAATCCCGATGGTACATAATCCCAGCAGACAAAATCCCGAAATACTAAATCTTAAAATACTAAAATCCAAAAAATACAAAATCCCGACAGTTTAAAATCTCGAAAGTACAAAATTCCGATAATTAAGCATTATAAATTTTAAAGGCAAAAACGCAAATATTAAGGTTAGTAGTCAGGGTTTTGGTTTTCGAGATCTTGAATTCTCTGGATTTTGTATTGTCAGGATTTTAGTATTTCAAAATTTAGTATTTCGGGAATTTGTCTGTCAGGATTATATATCATCGGGATTGTGTGCATCGGGATTTCATACGTAGTAAAAATTAATAGTTAGTAAAGAGCTATACTAAAACTTTGCAAAAAATTTTTTATTTTTGTTAGAACGCAAGGGGTAGTTACCTGCCGATTTTGAAAAAACCTTCTATCTCATGTTACACAACGTCCCACCCGATCTCCTTTTTAGGTTTGTTTCACCGGCGCACGCCTGGTAGATTACTCGACGCGTTTCTTGTTATTCCTTTATTTGTTGTCAAATATAATACCGTAGCAAATATAATACTGTAATAGAAAATAAAAATATAAATAAGAAATGTACAAATAGAAAAAATCAAATAATAATTTGTATGGATGAAAACATGCAATATCTCCTATGAGTCGGCATTATACACAAGCTATATAGACTGCAGGTAATTTACTACGTGTCATACGTATGAGCTCATCCCTGGTTATTATTTCAACTTACCGAAATAATTAAGTATACCTCAATTACTATTATAACAAATGGTTGCTTGAATATTTATTTTTTAGCCAATTAGATCATTATATAATCATAAAGGATGGCGCTTTCTCCGGTTGTTGCTCACTTTCCCGAAGTCCATTTTCTGAAATACCGTTTCACCGAAGTCGTAATACCGACAATCCATTTTACTAACGGGACAGAAATAGGTCAGTGTCATTTCACCGAATATCAATTAATCGACAAGTTTATTTCATTGACAGTTTATTTAACCGGCGGTCATTTCACCGACAAAGTAATTCTGGCATTGTCGTTAGAGTCATATTTAGAATTAGTGCAATTTTTTTAAAAAACCAGTCGGTGAAATAAGCTGTCAGTGAAATAATTATTAGTAAAATAAACTTATCGGTTATTTGATTTTCGGCAAAATGACAGACCTATTTCTGTCCTGCTAGTAAAATGGATTTTCATTACGACTTCGGTGAAATGGTGTTTCAGAAAAATGGATTTCGGAAAGTTAAACCGGAACCGCTTTCTCCTACAGTTAAGGTTGGAAACACGGGAAATTTTGGAGGGCATATCATCCAATTTATGTCAGTCTAAAGTGGTCATTAACCAATTAAAACAGAAATTTCATTGAATCTTTACGAATCACATGATAAGTGCATGACTTTTGGCTAAATGATGCCCCATATAATCTCCTAACGCTAGCATCACCACCTAAACTGTCCCATAGGCAGTGATGGCAATTTAATAAGCCAAAAAAAAAATTTAATTGGCCATCGGCCAATGCTTAATAATTTGGCTAAAAACAGTCAAAATTTATGGCCAAAGTTTAATGTCAATTGGCCAGGCCAATTAAAATTTTTTGGTCTATATGACCGATGGCCAAAAGGCCAAATGTGCGTATGTATCAATATTTGATTTATTGGTTTTGTTTAAAATCAATATATTATAATTTGTGTCTAAAGTCAGTTATGTATTACATTAATATTGGATCCGTATTATTTCACCAACCATCACTTCAAAGACACTACATTCTATCAAAACTCATTTCGTCAACATGCTTATTTTACAGATGATTAATTTACAGAAATTTACAGACAGGTTTATTTTGTAGACAGTATATTTTACCGATAGCTTATTTCACAGACAAGTTTTTTCTATAAACTGCACTATCTTAACTCTAATTCTAAGCCTAACCCTAACAACAATGACTAGAACACTTTGCCTGTAAAATTTAATACTAGTATTATACTGTCTATGAAACGAGCTTGTCTATAAATTTATTGTGCTTGTCGGTAAAATGAGTGTCGGAAGTCTTTGAAGTGATCATTTAATGTTAATTTAATGAACCAATCAAATTACTAGCTTTATTTGGCCATTTCAGCCAAAATTAAAATTTATATTTTTGGCCTTTTGGCCTCGGCCACTGGCTGCAGCCATTGGCCAACTAAATAGCCAAGTGACATCACTGCCCATAGGATAAGATAAAAAAAAAAAACTTGAATACGAATTGTGGCCGATGATTGGAATCAATTTCAATAAGAAAAAATCGTGCGTTTCTGATGGGGATTTTTCCTTGTTTAACAATGAAAAATTTCTGAAATCGCAACTTTTCATATTGCCAAAACCCTGTCCAAAACTTTTCAAACTGCTAAAACTTGTCCAAAAGCCATCACTGACATAAGCCTAGACACTTTATTCCGTAGTACATAAATTGCGAGAGCTGACCAATCAGGTTAATAAAGTACTATATATTTTATTAGGATATATTAAGTGATCCACAAGGATTGGATTTTTAGAGTTCAGAACTGACCCGAGACTCTCCCAAAATGTCGTGGTCTCAAGTGTTGGGCGACTAATTGGACATAAGTCCGGAATAATCTTGGACATATGCATCAAAGCTAAAGTTAATTAAAAAATATTGGACTTAGAGCTATTAATAATACTGACAATTGGACCAAACATGACGACATGACAAGAACTTGTGTGACTAATTACTTCAAAATTTTTTTAGAATTTTTTCTAAGACGATAATTTAATAACCTGGAGAAATAACGATAATAAGAAAATTTGTGATAAGATTGATGTTAGTCACCGTTACGTTGACACTAAACTTATGCACCATAAAAAACATAAGTTGAATAATTGTTAGGAAATTATTATCAGAAAACGATTTCAAAGGAATAATCATGAGGGTTTGCTATAGGGCGTTTGTTTTAATTCAGTTGTTACTTATACTATATAAGAATCTCTAAAACAAAAGAAATAGCTTGTTAGATCTCCAGTAAGTGAGTTAGTTCTCAAGATTGATAATATGTTTAGATTATATTTGTCAGACGAAGCCTGTAAATTATAGAAGTTGAAACTGGGTCCAGCTTTTGTAATCATAAATCTATAAGTAAAACTAAAAAATTTGTCGAAACTATTGGGATAGGTTTTAGTTTTGCATACTTTTTACTTGCAATTGTTTACTATTTCTTTTAATTTATTTACTGTATGCTAGTTTAATTATTTTTTATTATTTATTGTTAGCAATTTAGTTTTGGTACAAGCTCTTTATAAACGTATCTAATAGTCTGTTAAAATTTAAGATATCGATGTTTTTTTTTTTTAAATCTAATCGAATTATATATATGACAATGACTCTTAGACCAAAGTAATAAGTTATTGTAATTATTATTAAAATTTAAATAAATGTATCTTTTATTCTTTGAGTATGTTTTAGTATAAGTCTATTAGCCAATCAGATCTTGTAAAATCACGGGATACCCGACCCACCCGGATATACCCGGATTAACCCCAATCACTACTCCGGTATTTTTAAAAACTTAGTCGCTGATGTCGAAAGGTTATTTATGCAATGCGGACACCATTTTAACATGCTTCGTACCATTAAAACTCGTGAACCACTTAAGGTCCTTATTACAAATTCATCATATACCACGGCCAATATGGGCCATCCAGGTAATAATTTTTTCTGTAATAAAACTCGGTTCATTGTTGTAGATGAGGCTAAACAGTTCTCATGTGTATGTGGAATGCACTAAAATTATAAAATTTTTAAATTTCGAGTTCAATAATAACTATTGAAGTATATCCTCTATATACTTTATAATTATATAAACTTATAGAATTAAAATTTAATAATTATTGAGAAATTTTAAAGTTTGATTAGAAAAAAATCTTTTTTCGCATATTTTTACTAACTCACCCACATACACGATTTAAACTATCAGAACCAAAAACTTTAGTTCGGAAAATCATTATTTGGGTACGTAAGGCTCATCCTGAGTTATTCATCATGAATAACAAAGCTATTATAAAATACTGTGTTTATTTATTTATTTATTGATACACCCTTATTACAATTTTTTTATATATCAAACGAAAAGAAAATATTGATATTAATATATTAAATAAAAAAATGGATGTTACATACACTAATACCCGATGTTATTTTCACAATAATAAAAATTAAGGATCTAATCCATGTTAGCTGGATTTATATTATTTTGTCTTGTAATAACTACTCCTTTATAAAGTACTTTTCTAGAATTATCTTTATCTTTAATACTAACTAATGGAAATGAGCAAATTTCCACTTCTAAATCATGAATTTCATAATCATCCCATGTTCCTTCCATAATATTGATCTGCAAAGGTGTACCAGCTTCAAAAAATTCCGTAAATTCCGGTACAGGTTCTTGAGCAAGTAATCTAAAATATAAGAGAACAATCTCTTTTGCTATTTTTGCTGCCCTTTCATGTGAATCTGTTTGCTTTTCTTTGTTGTTAAATTGTCGATATTTACCAGCAGTTTTCAAAATTGTGTCTGTCAATTGATCAATAAACGGATGTTTATCACTACAGAATCCTCGAGTTCCTAATGCTGCAAAAACTTGCTGACGGATATTTATGGGTGTTAAATTTGTTATATCGTCAGTTCCTTTACGAGACTCCGAAAGTTGTTTTACTAAATCACATAATACTTTCATGCATGTTGCTATTTCAGCCTCAAGAATGTTGTCATCAACTTTAATAGTATAAGCTTCTGGGATTGGAGATAGGGGTGGGCTTGCCTCTGGATCTTGTTGATCTACTTCTTGTTGTATTTGTGATTGTTGTTGTGGTGGTGGCTGTTGTGGTTGCTGTAGTTGTTGCTGTTGTTGTAGTTGTTGTGGCTGTTGCTTTGGTTGTTGAGGTTGAGAACGTTCACTTTGATGATCTGAAGACTGTAATGATAAAGGTGATTGTTGTTGGTTTTCAAACTTCGGTTGAAATGAATATTCACTAATAAGGCGAAATAATTCCTCAAGAATACGGCGTTGTAAAGCAGCGCTTAACACCGGTTTTCCTTTTCCTTCCTTAACCCTCATTACGCATTTGTAATGGAGTAAAAGTTCATTAGCGGCCTCTTCATTAATAGACACATCTTTGCCTTTAACTGAGGTGAATTCTTCCAACAAAACCACTACATCAGAAATCGTTTTTGCAAGTTCCACAGTATTGCTGCTATGGTCATCTCCAAAATGAAAACTTTTCAGTTTTCCAAGAGCATCTTGATATTTACGAGTTTCTTTTTCTAACTCTACATGTTGCTTCTTTAGATTCTGAACTTCAATTTCTGATGAATGAATCCTCTGCTGCCATCGATTTTTGTCAGATTCAAAGTCCTGGTAAGATTTTTGTAATAATTCATTTTTTGTCTCTGTATCACTAACTTGTAACTGCAATTCCCTTGTCTCTTTCTCCAATTCTTCATTTTGTTTTTTATATTTATCATATGCATTTTGCATCATTTGACATTTTTCTTCTGCATCCTTAGAATTAGCAGAAAACCGTATGTTCTCATAGTTTTCCTCCTTTTCTTCATGTCGTTTACTATAAATTTTACCTTAAATATTGTTTTAAAAAAATAAATTTTCATCATCAATCAGAAACTTGTGATTTATTTAGTTTCTAAAATCTCACCCGTGTTATTTTGACTTATAGTCCTCTTTGTTTTTCTAGTTGGTAATGGCGGTGGGCCGGATGACATTATAATTATTCAAGCTAGCTTCTATTATTGAAAACCTGTTAAATTAAATTAAAAAAATTTATATCTCATCGGAAATGTAGGCTGAGTCAAACGTTCGTTGTTAAATGCGCTTGTATTTTTAATATGTTAATATTTGTAACACTTGTAATACAACAAGTTATGAATATGGGTTTTCATTTAATCCAAAATGCTTATCCATTACATAATTGGATAGTAAGTTATTTTATTTTTATAACATTAACAAATATATCATACATACAAATAACGGCCACTTCACATTTTCCGATCACATGTTCTGCAAAAATTGCCCCTTTTTTCTGTATTTAATACACCAAACGAAAATACTTTATCGAAATATATACGTAGAGTGTCCCCCTGCCTTCTATTACCATAAAACGTCATAAAACATGAATAACGCCAGTAATTTTTCGGCAAGAATTGTCCCGGCTTCCTATTATGGCAATTTTTTTAGCCGAAGCCATTATTCTATCGCCATGGCAAAAGTCTTGGCCGCTGTGGTATCTTTTAAAAGATACCGCTTGTCTGTAACTTTTTTTTTTTGATAACGCTAAAAGTCTCATAAAGAGAAAAAATCAAATAAATAAGTGAAACGAAACGCCTTGTATTAAAACGTAACTTTTTGTGCAGTTTCTGTTTTTTTTTTAACCAAAGTAACGTGATCAGTTAGACTATCCTTATAAATATGGTTAACTCTCCATTACCAACAGATCTAGCAAGTAAAGAATATTTTCTGCTTTATTTACTATGGTTTATTATTATTTCTAAGCAGATTTTAAAACATATTTATTTCTCAAGGCGAATGTAGAAAGGCAGCCAAAATCTTGAATAGCTTCATTGGTACGTGTCAATTGATATTATTTAATGACTTTAAATTGCAATTATTTCTCTATTTGTGATTTACTCGATGATTTCTTTTTCTTCTGTAGATCCGGTTGCTGCAAAGGTATGTTAAAATTGGTTATCTGGGTGATTGACTAGGAAAATCCCGGTTAGAAAAGAAATACCAAATGGGGTTTTTCTAGCCCGTCACCTGTATAATTAATGTATTTCTTTGAAATCATTTACATAATGTTAACATTATTGTTGTTATTGTAAAGGGTCCTGATAAGGTCATTCCACCAAATATTTTACAAAAAGCAAAAGGTTTTGCGATATTCACCGTTATCAAAGCTGGCTTTGTTTTCTCAGGAAGAGTAGGCTCTGGATTAGTCGTTGCAAGGTATATCACGCGTTATTATGTTAAATACTTAAGAAATAAATTTAAAATTTTATTCATTTTTTTCCCCAGACTTGAAGATGGATGTAAGAAATTCATTTTAAGCACGGTTAATCGTTGAATTTTTAGTTTTAATTCCTTAATCTCTTCTGTACAATCTAGCATGGTCAGCTCCATCGGCAATTATTACCGGTGGTATGGTAAGCTGAAAAAATAAATTTTGTTCACTAATTATAATAGTGCTAATTTATTTCGTTGGCATTTATAGGGTTTTGGTGGACAACTTGGTGCAGAGCTCACTGACTTTGTTATTGTCCTGAACAGCAGGGCTGCTGTTAAATCTTTTATGCATGGTGGTAATGTCACCTTAGGTGGAAACCTGTAAGTACGAATGTATTTCATTTAAATATTCGTTCTCATTGATTTATATGTTCATTATATCCAACATTTTATTCTTTTTACTCTTTTTCGAAATTATTATAGGTCAGGTATAATAACTTCGGATAACATGCTAGAATATGTGTAAGACTATATTAGTTTTACTTACCAGTATTGATAATACTAATAGTTGCTGCTGGCCCAATTGGGCGAAATGCGGAGGGGGCTGGTTCTGTTTCTCTTGGGCATGTTGCTGCAGTATTTTCTTACAGGTTAGTTCAATTATAATAAATTTGTTTATGATAACAGTACATTAGTTTATTAATTTATATTGTGATTTTGATTTTAACGTTATAGTAAGACAAGAGGTCTATTTGCGGGAGTTTCTATCGAAGGTTCTGCTATTATTGAACGCAAAGATGCAAATTCAAAATTATATCATCGTAAAGTGACAGCTAAAGAACTTCTTTCTGGACAAGTACCGTCGCCGCCTCAAGCAGATGTTTTATATAGAGCATTAAATGCGAGAGCTTCACGTCCTTCTGATCATGAAATTAGAAGTTATGAAGAGTCTTCAGAACATGAAACAAAAAGTTATGAAGAATCTTCAGAACATGATGGTACTGTGTCAACAAGATCAGCAGGGACTTCAAAAAGCTATCGTCATAGTCAACCACCACCACCACGATATTCTGCCATAATACCAAAATCAATAGAGGAAAGCACACGCAGTACAAATCCTTTTGACGCTGACAATTCAAATTCTGCAAAATCTGTTCAAAGATCAACTTCTTTATCTTATAATAATTCATCCAAACCTCCGCCGATAGCACCAAAACCCAAGGTTCCTCCTCGTGCACCGAAGCCACAAACAGCTATTGCATTATATGATTTTGTTGGAGAACAAGAGGGAGACCTTAGTTTTAAAAAGGGAGATATTATCATTATTACAAAGAAAACAGAATCAAACAATGACTGGTATGGATTGATTTAATATTCCTATTCTTATATCATACATAATAGAAATATTAACATAATAAAATTTAGGTGGACCGGAAAACGTAAAGGAGAAGGAGGAATTGTAAGTTTCAAATGTATTTTTAATTCATTCTATAATGTCATTTATTAATTTACAATTTTGTTTTTAGTTCCCCGCTAATTATGTGGAACTACAATAAGTAATGAAGTAGCAATAAAATTATACCATCATTATTTGTTATTTTTATCATATTTCGCGCGTTATTTTGATCCTGCGCATTTACATTTAGTCTCAATGTGTATCTATTCCTTACGCTTTCATACTATCATAGCAAAGTTTGGAATATACTGCAATACGGGCTCTGGTCGTAAAATTTGCAGGCAGATTGGCCCATAAGACTGTAAAAGATAGTATCTAATGGTGATTAGGTTACAATATATTATTTTCTCTATATCTATGCTATTGACGAACATTTTGTGCTTAGGAAAAAATAAATTTTTATAAATATTTCTTTGTCAATTTAGCTTTATAATGAAAATTTCAATATTATGTTTATTTGCATAATTTATTATGTATGCATATGTTTATTATGTGTACCAAAATTTAGTCATCCTAATTCTGTAATTTGTAAAATTAATTGAGATGTGGAATATTTCCTACGACGTACGTACGTACGTACGTATAATGCAATGGGCTTATAAGTATTGGAACTGTTAATAGAAATGTTAATCGGTACTGCAGCAATTATTAGCCGACTTTGTGCAAGATTTGTAAAGAATTGGCATTTTTTGACTATTGTTTGTCCAATAAATAAATAAAGTTATTTTTCTATAACATTGTCTAATGGAAGTTTATTGGTTTTTGCATTAATTTTAGATGGGACCGATTAGAGACCGAACACTGGTGCAAATTTAGCTGATCGGTTCTTAATCGGTCCCATCTAAATAGCTCAAAAACAAATGCAGAAATCGATAAGCTTCTATTAGGATCTATTATAGAAAATTAATTTTCTATGGCTTTGCCTACTAGACAAATTCTTTATAAATCTTGCTCAAAGTTGAGTGATAATTGCTGCGGGGCCGATTAACATCTCTAACTGTTAAGAATTCACTACGTAGTCCATTGATGAAGCTTCAAGTAATTTTGAATCGTAATTCTCGGAAAAAAATTGCTATTGCTTTTACACGTAAAAATTTCACCAACTTTTATCCTTACTTAAAAGAAGATATTTCAACGTTGATCCCATGTGCACTAACTAAAATACCACCATTTTCCAGTACAACAATCGACGTAAGTTTAATTAAGGGTAGGGTATAGGTCGATCATTTATCATATGATCTCCGTGGTACAACGGGATTTGATGCATAAGGTAAAATACGTCACTAGTAAAAATTCTCAAAGCCACGGCTAAATTTTACCAAAATTTGGTAATTTACAGTTCAAACC